TAATATGAGAATGAGAGGCTAGGATTTAACAATAATCATACCCGTTTATATTGGATCTATATACTGAAAGACAAAAATGATGCCAAATTAACTTTCAAAACTTCCACATACTCTGCCAATATCCAAAACCTACACTTTTATGAAAGCATGGGAACCAAATTTTAGAAAACTACTAGAATCAAGAGCCCTTGTTCCAACAGCTACAACAAAATGACGTAACTGAAAGAAAAATTGACACCTTTAGAAAGAGTCCAGATTCATCATATTCACAATCTTATGCAAGAAAACTCATGATACTCTAATATATTTGTGCTTTATCTTGGGAGAATGTATTTTCAAGAAAAACAAAAGTATTTTTGAAGATTTGCGGTAGAAAGTAGTTTTTATGAAGATCTGGAGTGTATTTGGATAGCTTTTCTAAGAAGATTTCAAGTGAACTTGACGTAGGTTCTCCATAAACAATTCTTAATTCAATCCTTTAATACGTGCAGATGATGAAATATCATTTTAATTCATAAACCATAAAAGAGACATACAGAAATCATCACTTTATGTATCATATTAAGAGGCCCTGTCTTGTCTCTTAAAATTCTAAACTTTGTGCTTCTATAAATGCCCTTGTAATAGAAAAAGTACATAAAGGAAAGCTCGTGAATGGGACTATTATTAGAAAGGGAGAATCTCAAGAAATTGAAGCTTTTTTCTGGTGCAAACTAGGCTAGCTGTATGATTGATACAGAATCTACATATGGGTATTGCCTTTATTTATAGGGCAACCTTCTGACTTGGACAGTCAAAAAAGCAAAATATTGTTGCTAAGAGTAATGCTGAAGTTGAACTCAAATATCTGATAAATGGGATTAGAGATTTGATTTAATTAAATAACTTACATAAGAACATAATGAAAGTTCAATAGTTAACTGTAAAATCAATTTTAACTCAACTCAGATTGCAAACAAATAAATATGCTGGGAAGTAAAACTGCATAAAGTAAATACGAAAATAAAAAGAACGTAAACTGATTTTCATACTGGTTGAATCAACTTGACCAACGTCTACTCCCCAAAGTTCCTTTCTTCCAGATATGGATCTGTCATTCCCAGTTTGACAATCATTTTGAGAAAGGCGGAGCTATCCAATCCTTTGGTAAGGATATATGCAAGTTGATCCTTTGATGATACATGGTTGATACATATTAGACCATTGTCTATTTTTTCTTTAATAAAATGTTTGTTCACCTCTACGTGCTTAATCCTATCATGCTGGACTAGATTGCGCGCTATGTTGATTGCTTATTTATTGTCACAATGTAGTTTCATGGGTTCATCCCACTTGTTCCTTATGTCTTCTAGAATCATCTTTATCCATAGTAACTCACATATTCCCAAAGTCATAGTTCTATACTCTGCTTCACTAGATCTTGCCACCACATTATTTTTCTTGCTTCTACATGTAACTAGGTTTCCTCCTAGAAATGTGCAGTATCCACAGGTAGATCTTCTGCTTACTAGTCATCCTGCATAATCCGCATATGCTTCTAGAGTTATTTTGTGGTCTCTTCTAAAGAGAATCCATTTCCCTGGATTTTCCTTCAGGTAGTGCAGCATTCTGTCTACAGCTTGCATATAAGCATGTTTTGGATTCTGCATAAATTGATTGACCATACTTACAGCAAATGCAATATTTGGTCTGGTGTCAGAGAGGTAAATTAATTTCCCTACTAACTTTGGTAAGTCCATTTATCTACATCTAGATCTTCCTTGGCTTCCACCAGTTTAAGATTTGGTTCAACAAGTGTTTATGCTCGTTTACAATCTAGTTTGCATGTTACTTTTAGAAGATTTTTTTAATGTATTTTTGCTGTGAAATGAAGCTTACTTTGCTGGAGTGGGCTACTTCGATTCTGAGAAAGTATTTTAGTCTACCAAATTTTTTGATATCGAATTCTTTGGTAAGACTTTTCCTTAGACTAATTTCTCTTCTTCATTATACCTAGTCAATGATATATATACCAACATTAAGGTGATTTTCATAGGGTGAATGCATGAACTGATTTGCCAGACTAATAACAAACGCATTGTCTGGCCTAGTGTGAGATAATATCTTTGTCAAGAGGAGTGCCAATGTTTTGATTACTCAACTCAATATTAGGATCAACAAGAGTATTAAAAGGTTTGCATCAAAGTAAATCCATTTCCTTTAAGAGATCAATAATATATTTTCTTTGGCCCTTTTGGGATGTGATAAAAATAGATTTATTTTTGGCACTTCCATATCAAGAAAGTATCTCAGGGGATCAAAATCATTAATTTTAAAATCACTAGCAAGTTTTTTCTATAAGGAGCTTATTTTGAATCTTGCTGATCAGATAGGATGATATCAACATAGATTATTGCTACTTTTGAATCATCTTTTTTATTTGTAGAATAAAGTATGGCCTGATTGGGCTTGTCTGAATCCTTGTTAACACAGAGACTTGGCAAAGCTTTTGAACCAAGCTCTGGTAGACTATTTAAGGCTATAAATAATTTTTTTATTTGTATACTTTTCCTGAATTCGCAGGCCTCCAGAAAGTTCCATATAAATTTCTAATTTAATCTCCATTACGAAATACAGCCTTGGCATTTTGTTGTAGTGGCTAGTCAATATTTGCAGCTATGAATATAAGCACTTGAATTGTATTCAATATGCAACTAGTGCAAATGTCTCGTAATATTCAACTAGTGCAAATGTCACATTTTACCTCCTCCATCGGGCGGAGACACCAAAATCTTTTTCACATCCTCGGTGTGGTGGAATAGCCGAAATCCCTTTCACCTCCTCGTTGTGGCGGAGTAGCTGAAATCCCTTGCATTTTCTCAATGTTACGGAGTAGCTGAAATCCTGTTCACCTCTTCGATGCGGCGGAGCCGTCAGCCTTTGATACCAAAGGCTTCTTTATAGAGCTTCCCTCAAGACAAACACAGACACACCCGGAGGAACTCAGGTGCAAGTTGGCTAAAGCAACTGTGTGAAAGCTCCTCTCATACTCCCTCGAATCCCACTAGGCTCTTCTCACTCTCACGCATCCACACCATTTATCTCATTCGCTTAATGCTCTCTCTTCAACACTCTCACAGAAGAAACAGACATTTGACTGTCAAAAGACTCTCTCAAAGTTATAACATGAGTTTAAATAGAGGACTTAAAAAAATTCTAATTTTTCAATTATGTAACTTCTGTTCGTATAGTATGATACTCGTATCGTATAGTACAATTAGTTCATCCTCAGTTGTACGATCCGAAGATCATCCAATACGATTAGTTCAATCGAATGCAATTCATAAAGGACAAACCCGAGACGATTAGTTATCATACAGAGGATCATTATGTCGATCGACCAGTATGTTCCAAATTGTATCATACGATCATCAATATTAATTAATCATGATTCGATTGTTTAATCATAAGGATTAAATTAGATAATATTTTAAAAATTGTACATTACGAACAAATTCATATAGTACAATCGAAACAATTTCAAAATTCAAATTATTCCCTCATTTAGATCACGGTGAGGGATACCAAATATAGCTGATCATCATGTATGATGTGGTCGTATAGTACGATTAGTTATAGCTTTTAACAAATTAATCTCATTTAATTAAATATTTTAATTGCTGACCCCACATAGTGAGATAAAAGCTTGATGTTGTTGTTGTTGTAATTAAATATTTTAATTATTTTTTCTAGCACGGATCATATAGTATGATCAAGAACGTCTGGTACAATCTTTAAAAAAATTTATTGATTACACTCCTCTTGTGTGTGTGCACGGTTATTAACCCAACATGCACCTATTACAAATATTGACTCAAGAAAAATAAAAATTAGAGACTCTTTGAGACAGGTTGACTCACACACTTTCTTGAGCTATGATTTTTTGACGATAATTTATGCATATTAAACATGAAATATAAGTAGTGCACAAGAAACATATATGTAATATAAAGCAGGAGAAAATAAAATAAACATTCAATAAAATTTGTAATTATCAAAATACAAGGTCGAGCTCCCGAATTGCAACACATAATACTATCAATAATTCTCTGAATATATATTGTGATAATCAAGTTTCCATCGGTGCAGTTGATAATGCCATCATGATCGAACTAATGTTACAATAAGAGTGCTCTTCCATAGTGTTAATAAGTTGAAATATTAATAGGGTATTATTAGTAAAACTAAGTTTAGAAAAAATGATCATTTGGCTCAAGTTGTGTACTGGTGTAATAATGGTATATAATTTTTCTCCTTATCTAAATAAGTAAATAACCATTAAAAAAAGCAGATCACTGAAAAAAAAATTATTATTAGTTAATTTGTATGAAGTAACTTGGTGAGGATTAGTAAGGAGGAAGATCCAAACTTCTCCTTGTCTTTGATTAACCCAATCAGGGCCTTCTTATACCCATCGACCATATTTCATTAACAATAATTGAACTTTAATATCATACAAGAAGGTAGAAGAAACAAAAAAGAAAATATTAATTCAATTCTGACTTAGCCCTATTGAATAATAGGGTATTTATATAGCTTGTTTACAATATTCTTAAGGAAGGATATACTGATGTGAAACATAATTGAATGGATGAATTGCTTAAGGAATTTACACGCTTAATTTTAGAGACCACAATAATTATATCTTTATAATGATTTGAATGACGAGATAAAACACAAAGAGCGGTAAAACAAGCTTAGGCTAAATCACATGCATAGGAGTTAAGACCGTAAAATAACCAATTAATCCAACGTTGCATACATGGATGATTTTCAACAAGAGATCCCTAGATTAACAATAAGAATAGCCACAATGCAAGGATCCATCACTTAACTCTCAAGCTTACTAAGTTTAAGCGGAGGATAATTAACATGATCTTCATGAATCCAAAATAATCACAAGCGAGAAGTGGACTAGGAAAATAAGAGATTTGGAGGGAGAGTTTACCCAATGGGAAGACAACATGGACCTCTTGATTGCTATTAGATAGCAGCCGACCCTTCTCGGGTGGGCTGGACAGCACAATACTTTGTTGAAATGTTCTAGATTGCAAGCCAAAATCTCTGGACAGCACCCACAGAAAGTCTGGACAGCAGGTTTTGGGTCTTGGAAGTTCTGGACAGCAACTTGTAAGCTTCTGGATAGCAGCTTTCAAGGCTCCAATACTCAGGATAACATATGGCGCCTGTCCAAGAATCTGGACAGCAAACTGGGCTGGTTCTTTGGGCCGCAAGAAGAGATCTTGGTCAACTGGACAACAACTCTGGCTCCGGAATTCTGCTGGACAGCAAGGAGACAAGAAGGAATAGTCTGGAAAGCCTCCAAACAATGCCCAGAAAATCTGGACAGCAGCTCCCTGTGTTCGACATAAATTTGGACAGCTTTGACAGGGTGTTGGGAGCCTTTGGACAGCAATCTCTGGCCTTCAGCAGTGCATAACATCAAACCAATATGGCTGGAATATGGGGACAACCAGCAGAAATCTCTGGGGAGGGAGGAAAACGTGAGAAGAGTTTTGGGAGGAGGCAGCTAAGGCTGAGAATTGGAAGGGGAATTAATTGAGAGGAGAGAGAGGGAGGTGGAAATTGGAAAACTGAAATTAATTTCAGCTTAAGTTGAATTTGGAGGGAAAATGTTTTGAAATTAAATTCAATATTACAAATAAAGTTGAGGGATTAAATGAGCATTTAATGGGGGAAAGCCCATCATGAGGGGCCGGCGGCAATCATAAGGGGAGGGAACTATGGGGTTTGTCCAAATGGCGGATGAAGATATGGAAAGGGAATAATAAATCCAATTTGACTTATTTTGAAATTGAATTCCATGATTGATACTTTCCTAATTTGGAATTCTTATATGGAAAAGAATTTGAAATTCCGAATTGGAAAATTTCAAATGAAATTTAAATTTTCCTCTCCTCATAGCTATGCAGCTAAATTAAGGAAAGTCATTATGGTGATTGGAAATACATCATAATGAGTGGGGAAATTATGAGGGCCCGAGCGGCAAAGGGGGGAAGGGGCGGTCTAGGTGGCGGGTTGGGCTTAGGTTTGGTGGTGAGATTTTAGGTGGGTGGAGCTAGAAGATGAATTGGGTGGGGGAGGTTGAAAGTGGCCGGCGATTGACTTGGAGAAAGGAGATGAAAGAAAATACAAATAAGATAAAAGTAAATAACCACGAGCTGTGGACTCTTCCAACGACTGGTGGGTATTGCACTTGCTCACCTTGAGCTCTCTCTCGCTTCTCTCTAGTGCACTCACAAGAAGAAGAAGAAGAAGCAGAAAAAACACATGAAATTTCATTATCAAATCATCATCCCAAAATATAAAACAACTAGCCTATAAATAGGCCTCATAAAAAGAAAAGAAATAAAAGACTAAACTGCCCTTCAGGCTACAAAACTACATGACCACCCGTAAGGATATAAAGGAAAAAACAACAATATAAAATAAACTAGCACATAAAACATATAAATAAATAACTCAAGATTGTAGCCGTTGATCTCCGATGTCCTCATCATATACACATTAAATATTTATATTTTATAATTCTTTGAGAGAAATAACTCAAACTTACTATATGAATGAATTAAAAGACAACCAAAACATGCTAAATTAGAACACATGATCAAGAAAAATATGTAGCAATTGATACATGATTTTAATACAATTAACATCCCCCCCACCTCTCTCTCCATATAAATTAGGCGGACAATGGAAAGTAGACAACAAACTTTTCATCGTCTTTGCTCGACATGCAAGCTTACAGAACTCCTTATAATCACAGAAACAAGCTTTTTTTCATATATGCTACTCTATGTTATGAATTAGCAAATTGAAAATTTAGTCAAAAAAATGATTCCATAGGAGGCTTTGAGGGTGATAAGTGTGGAACATAATTATAATTAAAATAAATTTTACACCAAGTCTATTATAAATCACTCTAGAGTTGGTTATGCTCTCCAAGTTCTTTGCTTCATTTGCATTTTATTGGCTTTTTTGTTCTTTATCTTAGTACCAAATAATAGTTTTGACAAACTTGACGTGACCAACACATATATTTGCTTGTGGCTTCTATATGCCTCAATATTATAGATATCAATATACTCATATTCTCAAAAAGAATGGTGATATCCTCCCTCAATATAGAGAATCTAAATAATTGGAGGGTGTTTCTTATTAAGTGCATTGTAAAAAATAAATAGGTGTGGCATAAGCGAATGTATTTATCGGTAGAGATGTCATAGCTGAATCTACTCAATAATTACTTAAGATTTATGCACCAAAGAAGCTCCTAGACAAATGATACGGAACTAGGTTCCAAAAAAGCTTAGCTTAGTATATGAGACAATTTATGTACAAGAGATCTTCAAACTTCCATCTTATGGATGATGCAATTAGAACTGATAAAACAAGAGTTTATGGATATCATTACTTCTTATCGGTAAAGATATTCATCAAAAAAGGAATTCAATAAATAAGCGGGTAACCTCTTTGATAAGTAAGAGCCACAGTTATTATCCTGATAGAAATTCAACTTTTTGAGGATTTATCACTTGATCAACAAGTTCTAATAAGACACATCACCACCAAACTTTGCTTCCACTAGAAATTAAAATCTTTATATTTTCAATATCCTAATCAAATAGAGATGGAAATAAAGGAAAACAAATTAGGATGAGCAAAGATAAAGAGATTAGAGATTGAAGCTTTTAAATACTTATCAAACTACGGGGTGCACATGGTGCTGATGCAACCAGAGATGATATTTGTATGAGAATAGAAAGCTTGGTGTCATTCTGAAAAGCTTTTGATGATATAATTCAATTCATTTGTAGGAGTGGTGATAGTTGTCACTTGGTGTACAAAAAGTCAAAGTTAAGGAGGTATGTAAAGAGATAATGGCTACTCCATTAGAGCATATTAATGATATATCCTTGTTTGTGATTACGTGAGTGCTTATTCATCTGAAACTTGTTATAGAGGAAGAAGGAAAATGGTAATTCATAACCACAATAAAGATGGAGCTTCTGATGAAAGGATAAAAAATTCAAGGGCAAACACACATGTGAACCAACTAAGTAGGGGATGCAAGCTCCTAACTTGCATATAGCTTTCCAGCAAGCATGTGAGGGCATAAGATGTATTTAATGTTATAGTTGATATGACCGGTGGTAAGATCAAAGCAATCGCACATCTCTTATCTAAGAATGAACTTCACTTGAATAAGTAGAATCAATATTGATGTGTATCAACCATCTTAATTTATTAATTTTTTATTATATTTGATTTTAATTAGTTGATATCTAAACTTTTTAAAAAGCATAATATATTATTTTAATATCATAATTATTTATTAATTAAAATAAATTCTATTATTTATTTAATTAAAGCCAACATGAATTATACTAGTATAAGTAAAGTTCAATCTCAGATAAAAAATATGCAGCCTCCTCAATCTAATCACCTGTTATGTCAACTACAACATTAAATACACCATATCATTATGTGCTTGTCAGAAGCTCGCTTTCTCTATTTATTTCTTCATATACATCTTTTCCCTTAAATTCCTCGCATTTTCATTAGGAACTCCACTTATATTGTAATCATGATATGATATCTCTCTTCCTCCCTAATAACAAGCATCACATAAGCAAGCACTCATGCTATAACAAGCAAATAAATATCATTTGTCCACTCTAATGAAGTAGCCATCATCTTCCTACACACCTTAATTTTTGAATTTGGCATCAATAAGTAATGACCATCTCCACTCTTATCTATTAATCAAATCATATTATCAAAAGCTTTCTAGAATGTCAGATTCGCTACTCTTATGTAAACATCATCTCTAGTCACATTAACACCATGTACCATATAATTTAATAGGTAGTTAGGTACTTTCAAGCTTTTTATCTATGAACTTTTTCTCTTTGCTCATGATCTTCTTTTCTTTACGTTCATCTCTTCTTGTTGAGGATGCAAGAGAAGTAAAGACTCTAGCTTCCAACGAAAGGAAATCTTTATGACAATGTGTCATACTATAACTTATTAATCAAGTGACAACCCCTCTCTAAAAGTCAAACTAATGTTGACATAGCATAACCAATAAGTTATTATTTGCAGGAGAGCAAAAAGGTATGTCTATTTGTTGAATTCCTCAAATGATAATTTTTTTTTGCACATCATAAGTAATGGCCATCTTACTCCTGGGTTACTAATGCTCACATAAGCATCCATAAGATATAAATTTAAAGCTACTCATACTAATGAGAAATGTTTTCTCTTATAAAAGCTTAGCTTTTCTATAATCCAGTTCATCATCCTAAATTAAGGACCTTATTTAATATAGAAATCATAAAGCAATTACTGAATAAAATTAACTATGACATCTGAAACCACTAATATCTTCTCGTATGCTGCACCTTTCTAATAATAGTAAGCACACAATGAGCAATACACTTTAATTGCTCAAAATTTAGATTTTAAAAAGAAAAAATCATCATTCTTCCTGAGAACGTAAGCATGCTAGTAACCACGATGTTGAGGTATATAAAGACCACATTCAAAATATAGTTGATGGCCCCATCAAGCTTGTCAAAAGAATTGATTAAAATCAAGACAAGAGCAAAGAATCTAAATATCAAGAAAACCAACAAATTGCAAATAGAGCAAATAATCTAAAAAATGTATTCAACTCTAGAGTAATTTACAACAGCCTTGGTGTAAAGCTTATCATAAACAAAATGAAGCACTATACTCATCACCCGCAAAACCTCCTATATTATCATCTCATTGAAGCAATGTCCAATTTTATAGAACACCTCATAGCATACAATACCAACAATAAAGAAAAGTTTGCATGTATGATTATAAGGAAATCTATAAGCTTGCATGACAACAAAATATTATTTAAACCCTATTGTCCATCAATTTGTTGATGTTTTCCTACTTCATATTGAGGGCTGAATTGCGTATAAATCATGTCATTAGTTTAAGGTTGTGATTCATTTTACTTTTGTAGTTACAATTTTTGTATATTTGAGTTAATTTTGTCATTGAAATGTGTTATTTTTTTTTAAGAATTGCACCTTTCATATCGGCTCTTCCTACTAGGAATCTAAAGTTAGCTTAAGGAATCAATCATCTCAAGGACTCAAGCCATGCAAACAAAGGCAATATGTGGTGTGATGTCAATAAACAAATCAATCATACAAAAGAGACCTGCTAGGAACTACATTGCAGACTCACACACCAGACAACTCAATTCAATATGGAAACCAACACAAAGATACATGTGCCTACCAAGAAAAAGCTGATGCCTTAATCTAAAAGCAAGAGACAACCTATAGGACGCATTCTCTAGGGAAAAAACCACCTGACATTCTCTTACTCACACCAAAGAAAACAGCTAGCAACTCTCTAATTACCTAAAAAGGTAATTATCTAACAGCTCTAACATGTACAAAGGAAGGGAAGGAATTCTGGATCATTAGCTTAGGAGCTTCAAATCACTTTGACAATTTTTGCTCAATGTCTTCATAAACTCCAACAACTAGTCATGTTAAAGTTTGAACTATAGATGGATCCTGATCTCCCATTGCTGGAGTGGGCACAATTAAAATTAAGTATGGACATGTCCAAAAATTCATCTTATATATTCCCAAACTTCCTTGCAATCTAATAATTGTAAGCAAAATATTTATAGATTGTGAATTTAGAGTTATTTTCTCACCAAATAATGGTAAATTTTAGAAAAAAAATTTGGTGAGAGGATTGGCAATGCTAGTGATTTTGGATGACTACTAATTTGAGGAAAAACCCAAAGAGAGCAAACAAGCCTTCTGATACGCATGTGCCGGCCCAGGCTGGATCGGTCCAGGTCTACTCGCGGCGGACGAAACAGGGAAGGGGGGCGGAAGCAAGGTGGGCCCCATGGGGGGTTTAATGCAATCTTTTGGGGGGAAATTTTGAATGTAAGGGCTGTTTAGGTATTTTGGAGAAATCCATCATTGTTAATTAGGAGGTTTTGGGGGGAATTAGGATTATGTGGAATTTGAATTGTTTTGAGATCTAGGGTTTGGTGTTCTTGGGCTCTTGGCTTTGCCGGAGATCTTTGGAGAGTTTTTCCTTCCTCTCGAATTGAAGGAAAGTTGTATCTTGCAAGTGCTTTTCATCGTTAATTGAAATAAAAGTGTTTGCTTCGTTTTCCTACGAGTTCTCCTACGTTTCCTCTCAGTTTTCCTTGTTTTTTTTTATTTTGTTGTTTTTCTGCCGTGGACAGAAATTTTCTACTGGATCTACTTCAGTTTGGCTAGGAACACTTGTGAATCCAAGTGTTTCCTATCAAATTGGTTTCAGAGCATCGTTTTGGGACCATCGGCGGCTGAAATCCTGAAATTTCAGCGGGTTTTTTGGCATTCAGAGAAAAATTTCTTGTGACTCGTAGAAAGAAAAATGGCCGAAAAGAAGATCGAAGTCCAAGAAGGCGAATTTGGCCAATTAAAATCAGATTTGGAGGAAAATTTTATTGAAATCACCGCCAATAATGAAAGGTTGGATGGGAAGTTCACGGTCATGGAAGAGATGATGAAGAAATTACTTGAGATAAAGACTAATCCGACGGCGTCGGAAGAAAGAGAGACTATCGGCGACCATGGCGTAGGAGGAAATCCGAACCCGCTTCGGGGGAGGAGGAATCCGG